CGCAACGCTTCGAAAGCTACTAAGATGCTGGCGTCCCTTGGCCGATGCTGTTGGAAGCAAGTCCGCCTCGGCAAGGGCGCTCCGGATGTCCAGCAGAAAGGCATCTCGGGCAACACTATCCTCTTCGCCCAGCCCACGGCGCAAATCCCGACCATGGAGCTGCCCCCGGAGCAGGGCGCGCTTGTGGACTCTCTGAACATCGTTTCCTCGGGCGCCGCGCACAAACTCCACAAGGCGTACTGGGCAACAGTCAAGCGCGGCGAGTATATGCAGATCGTGAGGGAGCGCAAGCAGCAGTGCGCAACCTTTTCCGAGGTATCCGTCCGGGAGGATGTTGCCCCGACACGGCTGCCGGAGGGCCGTGCCAGACCACATCCAAGCCTGTCTGCAACCACTGGACGGTGTGGACAAAGCCCCGGTACGTCTGTTGGGGCCAGCATCCAGGGCGCCGGAAGTGGGCAGAGACGACGAGGCGGGAGACGAGTCTGACGAGGACACAGAGACAGACAAAGACGGAGAAGCAGCAGAACAGCCTGACATGGCCTACCTGCATGAAAATGTGGCAGAGGTCACAGTTGCAGTGGATCCAGTGCATGACATCGCTCCAGTCCGAATGATTCAAGCGCTGCAAGGCACGCTGGTGGCGCTGCAGGAGCAGGCAGCACGCATCGCCAAGAACGAGGTGACACCGACAGTGGCAGACAGCAGCGGTGCTCTTCAGCCTGTTGCCGACGAGGGCGGCAGGCATACGATGCGCAGCTTGGTTCTCGATGTACAGAGTGCTGCTCGTTCGTTCGACGAGCGGGCGCAGGTGGTGCTGGAGAAAGCGCAAGCAGGAGCAGACGCGTGCAGGGCTGTGGGCCCGCACTCCTTATCGGTGCCTACGCAGTAACCCTTGAGTTCTTTCGACAGCAGGTCTTGGCCGGCGTGCTACACAGAGTTCTGGTTCGGGGACGGCGCGCCGAACCTCGAGCGGGAGCGGCCCATGCTGTTCGAACAGGTCTTCCCCAGGAATACTACTTATACTACCAGTGGTGATAGAGGAGTCGATCCATTGATAGCAGTGTGTCGTTTGGACCTACACGTGTTGATAGCAGTGTCTCGTGGAGGCCTACATCCATTGATCGCAGTGTCTTGTTTGTACCTACGTGCGTTGATAGCAGTGTCTCGTTTGGACCTACACGTGTTGATAACAGTGTCTCGTTTGGATCTACACCCACTGATACCACTGTCTCGTTTGGACCTACATGTGTCGATAGCAGTGTCTCGTTTGGACCTACACGTGTTGATAGCAGTGTCTCGTTTGGACCTATATCGATTGATAGCACTGTTACGTTTGGACCTACATGTGTTGATAGCAGTGTCCCGTTTGGACCTACATGCGTTGATCGCAGTGTCTCGTTTGGACCTACATGTGTTGATAGCAGTGTCTCGTTTGGACATACATCCGTTGAACGCAAGGTTGCGTTTGGACTTACACGTCTTCATAGCAGTGTCTCGTTTCTTCGTCCTTCGAGGTCGCACGGCGCCTCATCAACCTGGAGGAGCTCGAGTACTCTCTCGCGACCGACGAGGAGCCCTACGAGGCAGCCTGCCAGAGCCGCTTCAGCTCGCCAGAGATCATTGTTGTCTTCGGCGACGTGATCCGCCGGCTGCGGCTCTTGAAAGGCACTCGGGCGGCGATTGGCAGGAAAGGCTTCGGCACTGACCTCCAGATCCTGTCAGAGGCGTCGGCGGAGGATTTCATGGAGGCGCTGCACATCGCTAAGCCGGGCGACTGCATCGGCTCCGCCATTTCACGCCCGGGCATGCCTGCCAAAGTCAAGACTGCCCTCAGGACGTTGCTACTTAGCACTTCCGATGTCCCTGGCACGGAGGGGCGGAAAACCGCACTCCGCTTCAACGGGCACGGCAACAACCTCAAGTTCGGCGCGGCCAGCTTCTTCGTCACACCGAACTTCGCAGACACGTACAGCCCGTTGGTCCTCCAACTCCACGAAGGGCCCGGAAAGCGGAACCACTTAGACATTCGCGGGGGCGCGGTTGGCGCGGTGGCCAGAGCCGGCGGCGCTTCTCAGCCTGCTGGCCCTGACCTGCGGAGTCCAGCTCCGACCATGCATTCTCTGGAGCGGATGCACCAGATAGTGGCAGCAGACCCGCGGGCGCAGGCCAAGTTCTTCCTGTTGATGACGGAGCTTCACTACCGCTACATCATCGGCTTAGAGCGCCTGTTTGTTGGCCGCGCAACGCTAGCCCGACAGGCGGTGGCAACGGAGGACGACGTGGCAGCGTCTCTGCAGCCGTGCGTGGCCCCAGGCACCACTGATGTGCAAGCGCCTTTCGAAGCACAGGGTCGGGGCTTCACGCGCGGCCACGGCAAAGGACACAGCGTCATCGGGCCTACGATGGCGTGGCTGCGGTCGGCAGTGGTCGGAGGCCTGCGCACCGCCGCTCGGGAGCTGCGAACTGCGCTTCTTTCCACCGCGGAGACCGTGCAGTACGAAGCTGCCAACGAGCCCGCACGGCAGCTGGGGCTTCCTGACGTCGCGCCAGAGCCTTTCACAGCCAGGCAGCAACGACAGAGCCGCATGGACGGAGTGGAAGAGGAGGACGGCACCCTGCGCGACGAGGTGCCTCTCGGCCCGCCAGTGGAGCAGCCGCACCTGGTGGAGGAGCGAGCGCGGGCAGCCGCAGAGAACCGGATGCCTGCAATCGGCGCTGCAGCGTGCCGGGGCCTCCCGCTCACAGGAGCCTTTCAGTCTACGTTTCCAAGCTACCGCCAGCGAACTAGATTCGGGCAGCTAGGTGGCGCTCCTCAGCCTGCCATGGCAGCCAGCCATGCTAGCCTCTTCCAGACGAACGAGGATGGAGCGATTCAGGAAGTCCTCAAGCCCGATGGCTCGCCGGCTTCGGTCGAGGAGATTACCGCAGATGCGGAGGCTTGGGCGGTAGCGTTTAGCCATGACTTCTATTGCAACAACTGCTCCAACCACGAGCACGACTGCACCGAGACGTGCGTCAAGTACGTCAAGAAGAAGCTCGAGGCCAAAGAGAGTCTGCGCTCGAACAGAACCCCGTAGTGCCGCTTCTGGTTCTTTCGCATCCAGCAGCTATGTCTAGCAGGCCGCACCAAGCGAGTGCGTCGGCGCGGCAAGCCTTTGGTCCGGACTCCGTTCATCGACTTCTCTGATGACCGCAACCAGCGGTGCCGCTGCCAGGTCAAACGCGACCAGCCGTTCAGGAGCTCCAGCAACGACGTCTCTCACGTGACCAGCCGGTGCAACGTGGATTTCCAGTTCTTGATGTGCGCGCCTGACGAGTCTGCCGAGGCAGCAGAAGTGCTTCAGCCTGGTGGTGCTCCTCAGCCTGCCCAGGACGGGCTGCCTGCGGCCGCCCCAGCTCAGCTGGCCAAGCGCAGAAGGCTTACCAAGAAGACGGCCAGCATGAAGAACCCAGAGTCGGCAATCGCATTGCGCTCATCCAAACAACGCGGCGGCCGCAAAAAGTGGCTCTACGGTTGTGGCTCCTTGCATCCGACAGATGCATCTGTCGTGGAGAGCTTCCAAGCTGCTTTCCAGAAGGCTTTCTCAATGGACTTCTACATCACGAAGTACCAAGGCAAGATGATGGAGTCCATGACGCCGCTCTTCCAGTCCATGCTCACCGGCATGCAGCGTCTGGAGCAGCAGGAGAGGGACGAGAAGGAGGAGGAAGCCCGGAAGGTGCTCAGTGAGGGCGGCGCTGATGGCGAGGACCAGACGCTGGCCAAACGGGGCCGGACGCGCGAGGATCTCGCTCGCCGCGCTCGGCGGGTCTGTATCCGCCTGGCGTCGATGGCGAACCGGTGCTTCTGGCTCTCCACGACGGAGGAGGCCGTGCATATCCTCACAGGCGGCGACTGCCTCCAGTCGCACCACAATGTGCGGCTCTTCACGAGACAACTA